CAATTTTTTAAATAATTTTTTAACTGAATTTCTTGCATGGTTCTAAAAAGAAAAAAAATATAAGTAGTTCAGCTAAAAGGAGCACAGGCCAATGATCGCGCCCTTCTTGTTACGCTTGTTATCTGTGGCCTCCTGGATTGCACTTTTCACCTCCGTCAACGTCTTGAGCGACGTTGCGATCGCTAAAATGGCGAGATAGCGTGTTGACATTTGCGTCGAGGCGAGAGAGATTTTTCGTCGGAACGGGTGTAGGGAGACTTCAACAGACTTGAAATCCGTCAAACTTACGGTCGACGATCCCACAGGATCGCTGTCACGAGAAGCGATGCACTCGGTCAGCGCCAGTCTGTCGAGCACTACAGACGTGAATGACGTCTCGTTGGTTAAACAGGATCAGAATTGCCGAGCGATCGACGTGGGCACTGGCGAATCCTGCGGCGAAACCAAAAGTTTACGTATCCTCGATGAGTTTCGCAAGCTGTACGAGAGCCGCATCGAAAAGATCGACCGAGAATCCAGCGGCGAGTCCGATCGGGTCTCCGTAAGCATCATCAGTTTCTGTTTCACGCCATCACTATGTAGGATTTTTCTTACCATTTCGTTTGTTGAATCTGCCTCTATTTCTTTCATGCAATATTTAAATTTGTTGATATTGCAACTTAGTAACTATTATTCTGTTTGCATTTGACATGTCAAAAGATTGCTTTATAGATGAAACTACAAGTAATGAGCGATTGGATCAAGGATGTGGGAGAGCAAAATGCAATGTTGGTGCAAACTGTAGAGGATCTGGAACAGGCTGCATGTAGTAGAGTCAAGTTGCTAGAAGAGAAATTAAAACAGTCATCACAGATGGTTGTAAACAATTTAACAAGATCTGATTATTCGGAAAAGGTAAGAGATCATTTAGTTTTGTCAAATTTTCTCATCTCTTAGTAATCTTGTAATATAATTAATTGTTTCTGCATAGGCTTTAAATACTCTTTCAAATCGTGTCAGTCAATTGGAAAAAGATGAGGAGTATCTACAACAAAAAATAGAGTATCTACAAAGTGATATCAGAGGATTGTTAGAGGTGATTCGTCGTGCGTCTCGGCAGAATGTTTGGAGTCTCGAGGGTATCACATTCTTTGAGATTCATCCTGAAGATATTCCAGTTCCAGAGTAAGTTTACTATTATCTACTGATGCACATATAACATTTTATATTTTTTGTTTTTAAATTATGATAAAGAGTTTAAATAACGAAATTTCTTTTACCATTATAGTTGCATCTGTGACCAGGTAAATATGTGTGTAAATGCAGCCAAAAAACTCAGACTTGTTTTAGATATAGAACATCGCAGATTTCAGACACCAAATTATGTGTTAAGCAAAAGCATGTAATATGTTGCTCATAACGCAGATTTACCATATAAGCCAGAAATTTTTTCTCCCTACATCCTTTATTAAATTTAATTGTCGTATATATACATATGCATATATCCATATTGAATAAATTATCAACGGTCCCATTCAAACAGAGTATTGTATTTTCGAGAAATTTTTTATTTATTAATGTTATTACAATATTTTACTATTACATTTAATGATATATCTTTAAATCAGGAACAGACAGATATCGATCATATAAAATCCTTGAATTTGCAAGTAGAACAACTTCAGGAAAATGAAAGAAAAATGATCAGGTAAGATATATGTAAAATCTTAATATTATTAATGTTATCTTAATATTATTTGTAAAACATTGATATGAGAATTATTACATTTATATTAAAATGTAAAATCAATATCTATCGTTTTGTTATAGAATAATAATAGTAATTTTTTATTTAATATTTATAGTAATGAATGATACTCTAATGATATGTTATATATAATAGAATTTAAAATTTAATTGTTTGGTTACAAATTATGAAGTATTTATTTTTAAATCTTTGTGTGTCGTATTTGTATAAAGAGAAATTAACTTTTTTTATTATATCGTCTTTATATCTTCTTTTACTAAGTTTTTACATATATTTATTTTTGTTTAGTATATAAACATATATTTTTCAGATCTCAGTTGGAAACGGAAGGAAAAATAGCTGATCTAATGACAGAATTATCACTAAAAGATGATACTATAAAGAAATATGTTTCTAAACTTCAGTGCTTTTGCGAGAAGCTCAAAGAGCATGTTAAACAAACAAATCAAGTTATTAGTCACCCATTGGCAGTGACTTCCGATCAAGATTGTAATGTAAGTATATTTTTCAATATCAATTATCAATAGAAATTTATTTTAAAAATGTGATCATTTAAGATATTGATTTCTGTTAGAATTTTTTTGGAGGCAATCATGTTGCAACATATATAAAAATTAGGAAAAGTAAAGAATTGTTTTGTACTAATCATTTTTCAATCGGCCTATAATACATATTCTAAACTTTACATTTTGCAAGATAAAAAATATATAGCTCACATGTGTCAATATCAAAGATTGAAGGAGTCTTTTAAAATCTATATTGCTGTTCAGATTATCTTAATACCTGACATTCTGGAAAGTGTACTAGATGCAAAAGATAGGGAGAACAAAAACTTACATCGACAACTCCAGGATGTTGAATCCAAACTTATGGTGTATACTTATGAAAATAATGTTGACACAATTAATTTACAACTGCAACTGGAGGAAAAATGTAAAAAAATACAACAATTGGAAGACAAAGTAGCTCACCTCGAAAAAGTTAGTTTATTACATTAAAAAAATACTTGCTTTGTATAATCCATGTTATTAATATAAATTTTATTTTATTTTATATAAATTTATTAATATAAATTTTATTTAATATAAATTTATTAATATAAATTTTATTTAATATAAATGTATTAATATAAATTTTATTTATATAATCATAATGAATTAATTTATTTAAATTATTTTCAGTTATATATTTTTATTGGTTTCAGGAAGCTGCAGAAACAAAAGATATACTGACAGCGGAGATTATGGCATTGGAAAAACAAAATTATCATGCCAATATCGGAAATCATTTAAAGGATGACTTGATTAAGGAAATGCGTAAAGGATTGAAACAAACGACACTAGAGGTATAACATAAATTTATCAAATTTTCAATATAACTTACAATATTTTACGTTTGTAGAAGATCTTACCTGTCCTCCATCCTCGCAAATATAATTTTCACGATCGTATCGCTGCTATCACTAAAATAAAACCATCTCATGAATTCTCTGAGCAATTTCCAATGCCAAACGTCTTACACGTGTCCACACAGCGAAAGAATAATCTTGCATATTTGCACAACAGCTCTGAAAATTTATTAGATTACAGCAAACAAAATTTATCTATGACTAATGCAAAGTTACAGAATAGATTGCTAAGTTTACAGAATCATTCCCGACATCGCATAGATATTCAAGCTAGTCGATACAAATATGTAAAGAATATTGATAGGAAAATTCTACAGACTGCTAGAAAATTGTCACCTCCGTGTAAAGATAACAATTTACAAGATTGAATCATGATAAATATATTTATTCCATCAGATATTTTCAAGATAGTATGATTTAATCCTGAAATAAAATGGATTGGATTTAAATTGGATGTAAATTGTTGCATTATAATGTCTTGATAAAATGGCTTAAAATTTTATATTGTAATTCTTTCCTATGAAAGTTGGCATTGTCTGGTTTTCTAAAATTTTCTAAAATTAAATAAGGTAAATGCAAACATCTATTACAATCTGATAATAAAACAGTTTCATAAATTAATTTCTAAATTTTTAAATCTTTGATAAATAAATACATTAGAAATTCATGTACATTTATGATCTGTAATTTACATATATATATTTGAAAAATAATCTAGTAAATTTTATATAATACTTGTGAAAAATAATAAGTTATATGTCAACATGATTGCCTCGCTTACATAACATTAACATAATAAATTTTAATCAAATCACCTTTATGTCATATGTCTATTATCATATTTAAGATATAAATAAGAAAAATTAAGAAATAAAATAATAATAATATATGTTATAACTTCACTGATATATATTTATTTTCTTTTTTTATTTAATTTCAGGATACTTCTCAAAAAATTCATATCAACACAAATAATTTCTCGGAGGTCAGTCAAATCAAATATATCAAATAAACATATGTAATGTGATATATTAAAATAATATCTTGTTTTTTTAGAAATGTTTTCTACCTTCGGCAAATATCTCGCATTATAAAAAGGTTCGTTTATACAATATTACATATTATATTTTTAAATGTATATTTAAAGAAGAATGTTTTCATTTATGTGAATGTACATTCTGAAAATATGTATGTATTTATATTATTTAAACATCTTTTCAGGATGAATTTATATTATTCCTGAATAGTACAAAAATGCATGTGCAAAAAGAATGTGAAATTTTATCGGATTTAAAGTTTGAACTAGGGAAATTTGTAGATAAATTGAGTACCAAAGATGAGGTAAAATATTTTAGAATTGTAATATTTATTATTTTTTAGAATTGTAATAGAATAAAAATAAATATTGTAACAGAACACTGATTTATTATTATTTTAAACTAAATCATTATAGCAAATAGCATAAAATTTCTCCGAAATAATATATTTTTTCAGGTGGATGATTGTATTGCATCTAATAATTGCACAAATCAAAACAGACTTTGTACAAGTAGCATGTCAGATAAATTGTTCAATTGCATTGAAATTATTACTAAAATGTATTCAGAAAGAGAAAAGGAAATTATTGCTTTTGATCGCATGGTATGTGTATAATGTATCCGCGAATAAAATTTGTTTTGTTTTTATTCATTATTTCGCGCATATGCACATAAAGATAATCAGAGATATCATTAGATTTATTTCAATCATATTGTGTTTACTTTTATTGTAGATAAAAAAAGAAGAAAATCATTGTGTGTGCGGGAATCCTAAGAATATTAAAGTAAGATTACACATTTTAATATCAATTTTATTTTTATCACATATATCATAAAATTAATTAATATATTTTTTCCAGTCAAACGTAAACAACGCACGGCAGTTCAAATTGATGGAAGAATTTAGAGTATGCACTGTGGAAGCTCAAGCAGCAACAGAAGATATTCGCGAAGAGATAAGCACTGTTATTTCGACATTTAACTCACGACATCAGAATGTATGTTCCGGATCAATAAATAAAGTTTCAATAGTCGTGAGAAGATAAACGATTGATATTAATTTAATATTTTCAGTATGAAGAATTAAGCAAAATGGTTATTAATGTACAAAGCTACTTGACAAGAACGCGAGAAGGACTAATAGAAGCAATTAACAGGCTAGAATTACAGGTAATATTTATATATAACATATTAAGATCTACATTTCTCTCATATTATAGATATCATTAAAATTAGCTCATAAAATGGTTCTGTTTTAAATTGATTTATAATTGCAATTATTTTTATTAATTTAAAATTGAAAACCATTTCTTTATCATTTAGGAAGAGGAGAGACTGAGGCACAGTGAAAGAATCATGAATGGTAATCTTAAATTGAAGGATATAAAAAATGATATTAATCATGCTCAATTGGAATTGTCTCGTTGTATTAATGGTATGCAGAGAAATATACAGGTACAAAAAGTATTTATTACATAGCTATTTTGAACATTTTATCAATCATTTCGTCATTTCATATAAAGTGTAAAATGAATTTTAGGGATATAATGAGCCAGATTATACAGAAGCATGCATTAACAATGATTTACTAACTATGGCAATGGAGGAAGTTGAACAAATATTGATTAATTTGCAACTGTTTCAAACTCAGGTTGGTTCAGAAAGAAGTCAAAAGAAAAGTAAAGCTGTTAACTTTGATATTTTAATTATGTATAGTATAATATTATGTAAATATCATCTTTTAGGGTGGTTGTATGACGTCAATCCTAAAAGGATTAAGAAGTCAACTATGTACCATAGATAGTTCTTTAAAGGATTTACAGAAAAAAACTGGTGAAGTGGTAAGTACCTTAAAAAATCTGTGAAGATAAACAATATTATCTTTTGTATACATTTTCAATCGAACAATTATCTCTACACAGTTGTTAAATAATGAAATCGCGAAAACAACGTTCTGTGAGAGGGAAAGCAGATTAGCTAAATTCGAAGAAGAAGTCGATTGTGCACATACAAAAATGCAAGATGTATTAGAAACATTTCTTTCTATAAAACAAGAAGAAAAGGTTATTATTTGTAACTTGTATTTATTAGATTAATCACAAAATCTAAGTTTTATTTTTTTTTTAAAGAAAAAAAATTTGTCCAGCTTATTAAAATCAATCTAAATCATTTCTTTATTTAGAATATTTTCCTTATATTTTGTAGGAAGAGTCCTCTCATTGTATCTTTGATAATCAGGTAATAAAGCTATTGTAATCATTGCACATAAATATATAAATGTTTTCTTTTCTATTCATAATATATTTATATATAAATATTGTTTACAGGAAATAAATGATATTATAAAAACAAAAGAAGATTTACACAAATTAAGAAAAGAATACGATGATTTAAAACTTAATATGATCCAGGTAAGAAATCAAATGCGTGGATTTTTAAATTTAATTAATAATATACATATATATAACCTGTACAAATCTATTGTCTATTGATAAATTTTTATGTTTTATGTTTATAGCAAACATGTCAGATAAAGTACGATGAAAGATTGAATAAATGGAAAAATCGTATAACTGATTTGGAAGATCAAATTAGAATGTTACAGCATGAGGTAAGTAAAATATCATTTGTTATTTTAAATATTTTATTGGAAGATGTATTGCTTTGTACATGCCATTTATATAGGCCATATGTAAGCAAGAAGCAAATAACTTTTTAAAAAATAATATTCAATCCATGGAGAAGGAATTGAGTGCTGTACGAACTAAGGCAGATAATTATAGACAGTGTCACAATAAAGATAGCATGGAACTGAAAAAGAAAATAATGGAACTAGAAAATATTGTAAGTAGTTACTTTTTTATGTATCTTAAATCATTGGAGAAACACTGACATCTTACTTGATAATCTTGAATTTTTCAGATTAAAACGCAAAAAGAAGTAGAAAATGATCTTAGGAAAAATTTAAATAATGTAGCAAATGTTAAAAGATTTACAGAAATCTCTAATTCTTTCGTAAGTAATAATTCTCTAATTATACATGAATGTATTTATAAATGTCTTCCTTTTTTATTAAAATTTATCTTTATTCTAAAGCATACGGAATGTAGCACAGAAGCAACACTTTTACGCTGCGATTATCCATCTAAACATGAGGTGGTTATTATAAATATATATTCACATATTTAAGAATCATATTCGCTTATGATTCTTCTTTATATGCTAATAAAATTATTTTTTGTATTTTTTTTATATTCTAGAATATATCTCACTTGTTCAAAACTGTGCAAGATGCCATGCAATTTGCAAAAGTGGCGGTTCAAGATCTAGAAAATGAACTTAAAAAATTGGTTTGTATCTTTTTGCTGTCATCATGTCGAAATTGGACAATGTTGAAAAGACTTATGAACATTTACAGATACGAGAAGAATCGTCCCTCACTTCCGTTTCGGCAAAATCTGCTGTGACACTAACAGACTCGTTAGGGAAATGTAGAGAAAAACTGGATACTTGCTCTCATGAATTAAGCAAACTTAAAAATGCTGTATATTCCAAAGAAAAACTTGTAAGTCGTATTCATTATTATTATTTATATATAGCAAAAATATATTTCATATCCTTCGATATCGACGGTATAAAGTCTGTTTTTATTTTATTTTTTAATAAAATTGATTTTTTTTAAATTGATAAAAAAATTGATAAATCTATAATTACGTAAGAAAGCATTATATATACAATCGAATGTACATTAAAGGATGAAAATTATTTCAGTTAGAAAATATGGAGGAAGTCGTACGAATACAACGGAATTCTTTAACAATGAGTCAAGCGGAAGTAAAAGATCTACATCAAAAATTACAAGATAAGGTAAGTTGAGTAACATATTCATACAAATTCAAATTTATAAGTAGAAGTCATGATTTTATATAACGCTGACTTTTGAATTGGAGATATATGCAATTATGCATTTTTAATTGAAAGTTTTAAAATTGTTTTATCGTAATTATATATAATAGTCACTAACAAGATGCATGAAGAATACATTATAATTAAATGCAAGATTCTACTTATTTATCAAGAATAAAACTTGGAGGTATGTATTTATATGATACTAGAACATAAACTAAATCCTTTTACAGATAGATAAACAGAGCCTTACTATCGCGCAATATGAAAGAGAGAAGAATGAATTAGTAAAGCAGGTTTGTCTCTTCTTTGTTATCATTATGCTTCGCATTATGACAAGATTTGTTTTCTAATATTGCACCATGTGTTACAGAATGAACTCCAAATACAAACTATTGGGCACTTACAAAATGCCGTTGTTGAAGCTAAACGAAATTTGGATCAGATGGGCCACAAAGCGATAAGTGATGTGAGTGAACTGAGGCCAGCGATACCGTCTTTAGCTTTTAGTCATAGAAATGTGCATGATGTTTAAATATGAATTATAAATAGAACTAAATGCCATAGCTTTCGCGCCAACATGTATTTATTACAAATTGTAAATATTGTCGATATATAAAGCGCTTATTAAAAATGTGATTCTTGAAGATATGGATTGTTTCTTTGTCTTTATATTTGCGTTACGACATTGCGAATGTAAGAAACATGAGTGCCATGCATGACGTGTGCTTGAGCGTTTAAAGCTTTTTTGTGATTGATTACTTGAATATTTCACTTACGACAAAAAATCTCTCGTGGCATATACAAGTGTAACATGCTGCCTGGATTAACAAATCCTGGATGATCAAATTGTGTCTGTTGCACTACATGATTAACAGAATAACGTAAACTACAACTATATGTGAGTGTTCCCTGCTTTTAAACTTAAAAGCGAGTCGTATAATAAATGCATTATGAGTATATTTTCAGCTTTGCAAGAAGGATGAAATTATACGTGAATTAATGATGCGCATCGATGAGACGCAAGATCAATATAATGAATGTTTCACAGAGGTAAATATAAAAGATATATATATATATATATATAAATCAGAAATTATTTTTAAATTAATTAACGAATTGTTCCAAATATTATTAATCTATATTTTTATACTTATATTTTATATTTTATATTTTAAAGGCAACTAATCAAGATCTATTATTGGATCTGCAACGAGATGCTATCGACAGTTTGCATAAAAGAATTCGTTGTCTGGAATACGACAAATATTTAATTGCTAATACATTACATATGATATATTATTCAATTTTAAGCGCTATACAGGTACAGTATAGAGATATTTCAATTTCAACAACCTACAGTTTCACGGTAATTGAGATAGTGAGAAATTTTGTATATCTTCAATAAAGAACCATGCATATCCAACAAGTGTTATATTTTCTAAAATAATTAATAATAAATGATTTAAATTATATATTATGTATATATTACGCGTATTTAGGCATATATATTTGTTGCATTAATTTAAAATTCAAAAATTAAAACTGGTTTACGGAATTGACATTATTTAAATTTTTTCAGGAGCAAGTACACGATCACGTAAAGAATTTCCAAGAATTAAAATGGAAGGTAAATTATAAAATATTTATATAATCTATGAAATGATACCTTTTTTCTACATATTTATTTCAAAATACATTTTGTTATAGATGGATAGCTTTGTGCAGGCAAAGAATTACTCCGAAAGTAAATGCACAAACAAATCATGCGCGCTGTATTTTGAGGATAAAAACTGCGATAGCCAAAATTTAGAATATTCCTCAAATAACATCGCAACAATGTCACACATAGAAGGATTTTCAGGTAATTTGCGATGTATAAGATGAAATTTAGACTTTAAAAAAGAATGAAAGTTTACAAATGCAATCAAAATTTTAATTAAAGAAACAGAGTTGGGAAATATCATTCAAATAAAACAATTAAAAACAGAATTGCAAAAGATAAAAGATGCAGAATACGCTCTAAGATGTGAAAATCAACAACTTAAAATCAGTCTACAGCATCATATATCTGAGACTAATAATCTGATGAAGAAATTAGAACACGTTAAGCAGAAGGAAACTGAATATGAGGAACTTCTACTGAAAGTAGAAGATGGAAAGAAGGAGGTGATCATGTTTAAATTTGTCGTTTTCAAGTCTTTTTAATTACTTTACTTATTTATCTTTAATTTATCTTTTCTTTATTTCATAAAATATACCTAATTATATAATAATAATGAAATGAAATGAAAATACGGAATGTCGTTAACAATCTATAATTAACATATCGATATACGAAAATATTAATAGAATTTAGTGGATTAATAATGTGACATTCGTAGATGAATTTGCATATCAATTTTTTATATTAAAATTTTATACATATCAGCTTTTCAAAGAAACTGAATTGATCAATTTCGAAAATTTGTAGATTAATGCCTTAAATGACCAAATTATCAATAGCGAAGAAATTATTAAACATCAGTCTCACGAACTTGAAACACTTCGAGAAAGATTACTCGCAAAGGATCAACAAACGGAGAATTTATCTGAATTGAACGTGTCCGAGCGCGAGATGCTGGCTGTTTTGTGTGATCGAGTATATTCTTTGAAAATTCTACTGCAAGAAAAATCGGACAGTATGGTTAAATTACAAGCAGATTATGAATTACTTAAGGTATGTAAATATCAATGTTTCGTGTATAACAAAATAAGAACCGATTTACATGTATTAATATTAATGAGATGATAGTTAATGAGATATTAATTAAATCTATTTCAGAATGAAAATTCTATATTAAAGAGTCAAAATGATATTATTGAAGCTCGAACTAAAGAAGATGTCTTACAATTGAAGGAAAAGGTAATATACTTAATGAGATTATTTAATGAATATTTTTTTCTAAAAAAAAAGATTAATAATTTATTATCTTCTATGAAATCCATTAAGCTTAAAGAAACACGCACTAAATTGCGTCAGACAGAAGACAATTATCATCAAATGACTGAAGACTTTGATAAAGTTCAAAAACAATTAATGTCTACAATTAAGCGAGAAAGTGACTCACAGAATTCGTTACTAATCATGGTAATATTTTAATTATTATGAAATGACATGTTTTATTGAAAAATTAGAAATATATACATAAATTTATCAAAATTGTGGATATCTTTTTTTAGGAAAAAGATTATCGTTCTAACATTCTAAAAGCAGAAAATGAAGCGATCCATCTACGTGATTTAGTAAACAAACTAAGCGAGGAATTGGAAGAGACCAAAAAATCACTTACATTAAAAGATATTGAGCTTTGTCAAGCGAAAGACAAATGCAAGGACTACGCAAATCATTTGGATATCATACACCAAGATGTATGTTTACATATTATAATAATGTTGTATTGACACATGAAGAGACAAGATGAAACTTCATTTTTTTTAGCTTGAAAAAGAAAAAGAAGAATTAACGAAGGCCGAAAATGTAAACCGTGACTTGATTCAACAATTGCAAGAATATATGAATGAAAATGATCACCTTGGCCAGCAAAAAATTTCACTTGAACAAAATAATACTACCTACATAACTGAAGTACGATATTTTATTCTGTTTCTCGAATAATGATTATTATAATTTTTAATTTTTATTTGTTAGTTACAAGACATGCGAAAATCTTTGCTCGAGTTGAAGAAGGAATGCCATTTGAAAGACCAATCTCTAACGTACATGTCGGCCGACTTGATTCAAACAGCTGTAAGTAGATCAGAACTTTGTAAAGAATCTCAATATGTAGTTTCATGCATTCGCAACTGTATGGAACAACAGAAAAAATACAGTGAAACCTTAGCGGAAAATTTGGAAAACAAACAACAGCTTCTAACGCAGCTTGTATTTGAGAAAAAGTAAGTACGTAATGTATTCAATAGTTTGATTATTTAAACCACGATTATCATATAAATTATGATTATCTAAAATCACAAGAGTATTTTCTGTTTCTATATTTATATCTATATATTTAAATGAAAATTATTTTTAGAGCTCTATTAATTAAAATCAAGAAGTTGAAACGAATTAATTTATTAGCACAGAAACTAAAAAGAACGCACAGACAATTAATTAGTAGGGGTTTTAGAAAAGCATACTTAAATGGTTATACATCATCATCATTCACAGCGCATCAGACTTCAGATACAAGTTTAATTTCGAGTTTGAATTATAGAGATATGCGCAAGGTTAGTATTGAAAAGGAAAAAAAATTTTACAATTCAGTATAGATATTTAATACATTTCAGAACTGAAAATCTATAGAATGTAAACTGTAAATTTTCAGCATCGTCAGAATATTTCGAAATGCATTCTTAATTGCTTTATATTTGTTTTTAGAAGCATTTAATAAAGTCAAACAAAAGTGGTCGATATATGACAACATGTGGCGATTCGTGGTGGTTTCCCAAAATGGAATACTTAATAAATGAGATTCGAAAAAGTAATCAATGGTGGGATGAAAATTTCACCAATGAAACGGAATCCGATATTTCATTGGAAGAGAGTCGTGATTACGGTTATCAATCTTCTTCCACAAGCAAAATAAAAAGAGCCAAGGAATTCATCTTGATAAAGACTGAAGAAATGACGCTAAACAAAAATTTGAATATTGAACGTAGAAAG